TCTGAGGCACTTCCACTGTTCAACCTAACTATCCCACTGGGTGAGAGAGAGAGAGTCCCTTCAACCAGCAGGTTTGACTTGACCTACTTGGCATCGTTCCAGCACCTGCGGCGGGGGGAACGCGGTGGTTTGCGTTGGCACGGAGACACAGACTGACATCGTTACACAGGCTAGACACAGAGCTACTTCGCATCTAAAAAATTCTAAAGGTCATTTTTGTTTGGTTGTTTTACCCCACCTCAACAAGAGCCTGTGGTCGGCTGCCATTTGTCACTCTTTATTTCACTGTTGTAGTGGAGCATTCGCACCAACGCGTATGCGCCTTCGGAAGATAACGAAAAGCCCCGTGCTCTGATTGCGCGGGAGCCAGTGCTGCCTTTGCCAGACTGGCCGTACGGTCATTATTTGTTGCAACCCCGTTGTGACTTCTCTGCTCGAATAAACATCATCACATTTGGTAGAGGCTGCTGAGATCCCTAAGAAGACCTGGAGCTCCGCTCTCGCAAGTTGGACGAGAGACCATTGCAAAACATGACTGACACAGTCGCCAACCGTCCCATCCCAGCCCAGGCAGCACCATCGGCTGCCCTGTCTACCTGCCCCACGCTACCCGCCAACGGGACCCACCAATCATCAGCGGCAGTGGTGAGCAAGACGTCGAAGACTGGCTCTCCTTGTACGAACGCTTAAGCGCCAGCAACAAGTGGGACGACGACTCTAAGCTCGCCTACGTTATCTTTTACTTGGCAGACGTAGCTAAGCTTTGGTATAGCAACCACGAAACCACCATCGCCAACTGGTCCTCCTTTAATACCCTCGTGACAGAAGCGTTCGGCCGACCAGAGGTCTGCAAGCTCCGCGCTGACCAGCGCCTACGGCACTGAGCCCAGCAGCCTAGCGAGACGTTTACTAGTTACATTGAGGATGTTCTCGAGCTCTGCAGGCGTGTTACACATCTATGCCTGAAGAAGAGAAAATTCGGCAGGATTTTCAAGGGCATCGAGGATGGCGCCTTTCAGATGTTCCTAGCTAAAAGCCCGACCACGGTGACAATCCCCGTAAGCCTGTGCCAGAGCTTCGATGAATTGCGCCGTCAGCGTTACATCGCCAGACAGAGTGTCCCGCCATCAGATTCGATCTCGGCCGTTGCACTCGCAAATGCCAACGCTCGTCAAGAAAGTCTATCCAACCAGATCAAAGACTTCATCAGAGAGGAAGTCGCCCGGCAGCTCTCCTTGCTGCCGCATAGCGACGCGCACACCGCAAGCCTGCCTTCGGCACTTCAGCAGGCCATACGCACTGAAATTTGTGATGTCCTCCCTACAGTGCCGGCCCCTTACACATGCACTTCAGTAGCACCTGATCTCTCAACTGTCGGCTACGCAGCACCTGCGCCACCTTCGCCTCTCAGCTACGCAGCTGTGGTCGCGCGGCCCCCATCGCATCGAGTCTCCATATCGCTCCAGCTCCTCCGGCCTCGCCTCCGGTATGCAGGCCCCCAGCTCGCTTTTTCCGTCTTCTAATGAGCGGCGCACCCATGACAATCGTCCTATCTGCTTCGCGTGTGGCATCGCTGGCAACGTTGCACGCTTCTGCCGCCGGTGTCCCACACCTGCGTACGCCTCCTTTGGAACTCCAACCTACGCGTCGCAGCACGCCACCACGTCTGCATATGAACAGAGGCACTCCGTCTCGGATCGTCGCCCATCAACTGCTCGTTTCCCATCCCCTCGTCGCCGATCGCCATCGCCTATGCGTCGTCGACCACCTCCTGAGGAGGGAAACTAATCAGTGCAGTTCCGGAGGCAAGAACTGCAACTTCTGCGCAATTATCAAGGCCTCCATTTTCGCCGCAAATTGTTGTTGATGTCGATGTTGAGGGAGTCACCACACTAGCATTAATTGATACTGGCGCCACCGTTTCTGTGAAGAACGCAAAATTGTGTCTCAAACTGAACAAAGTGACCCCATCTCTTTGTGGCATGGTGCTGTCCACGGCTAGTGCGCAACGCATTGATCCCTCGGCTGTGTGTACGGCACGAGTCATCATTTAAGACGTTTTGTACATCGTCTAATTTTTCGTTCTGCCATCTTGCTCTCATGACCTTATCCTCGGTTGGGATTTCTTATCACGTCATGAAGCTATCATCGATTGCTCCCATGCGGAAGTGTCCCTTGTGCCATTTGGTGAATTTCCATCGCCCGACCGTTCTCCTCTGCTCTGCAAACTCATCGCTGACGACGACATCACCTTGCCTCCGGAAACTTCAGTCCCTATTAGCCTTTCATGTGCAGTGCAACCTGACGCCACGGTGTTGTTCACGCCATCTCCGGTTTTTACTGAACGCAAGTGCGTCGTTCTCCCATTTGCCGTTCTTACAATTGCGTCTGGTTTAACCGTAATGCAGGTTACCAACCACTGCAACGACCCCATTGGCTTACTCTGTGGTGAAACCTTAGAATATGTACAACCTGTCGACCATATTGATGATAATATTCTTCCCAACGAAACCCCATGTCACATTGCCGCAATCACTCATGCGTCTGAGCCATCAAGCTCGTTAGCCTTTGACAATGATATTGACGCAGAACTTTTCCCCTCGCAGCACCGCCAACTTGTTGCTCTCCTTAACAAGTTTCGCTCTTCTTTCGACTTTCAAGAACCTGCTTTGGGCCGTACCACGACTGTAACTCATACTGTTGACGCCGGCTCATATTCGCCCTTGCGACAGCGTCCTTGACGCGTTTCCACCGAAGAGCGCCGCGTCATTACGGAGCAAGTAGATGACATGCTTAAACGCGGAGTCATCCAGCCTTCTCAAAGCGCTTGGCCATCACCTGTGGTTCTGGTAAAGAAAAAAGATGGCACCGTTCGAGTTTGCTTGTAGGCCCGTGTGCTCAGATTTGGGTGCACGTTAAAGAACCCCAGGTGGTCTAAATTTCCGGAGCCCTCCACTACGGCGTCTCTCATAATCATATGGTGGTTTTGGGACGTTAAACCCCACAAATCAATCAATCAACCGTTCGAGTTTGCGTGGACTATCGCCGCTTAAACAAGATTACGAAGAAAGATGTATACCCGCTACCACGAATAGATGATGCTCTTGACTGTTTACAAGGCGCCGAGTACATTACATCATTGGATCTGCGTTCTGGGTATTAGCAGGTGCCAATGGCTCAATGTGATCGCCCTAAAACAGCCTTTGTAACGCCGGATAGCATATAAGAGTTTAAAGTCATGCCATTTAGGCTCTGCAACGCACCTGCAACATTTGAGCGCACGATCGATACTATCTTGCGCACCCACAAGTGAAAAACTTGTTTGTGTTACCTGGATGACGTCGTAGTCTTTTCAGCTAATTTCCCAACACAATCTAAAAGCAATCCAAGTACACGGGCAAACAAAAAGTGAAGGCCGCTTCGCAATTGTGGTGCCAAGCCAGAAGGAAGCGTAGAGCTGGAAAGCCTTTGTTTCTTTTCGGTTTTTTCTTGGTTTCTTCTATTCTGTTTCTTTTTCTTTTTACTTCTATTTGTCTTCTTATTCTGTTTATTTTAGTACTGTTTCATTTCACCGCTTGCTTCTTCTTTTTTATATTCTATTCGTGGTTTCACATAAAATGCTCCACTTTTGATATTCTCGTCAAGGCGCTCGAATAACGAGAGAAAGAAGACTTCCCTTGGCCCTAGGACGCACTCAATATGCCAAAGACGGCTCCACTTTATGTAGTTTTACCTGCTCTAACATCGTCACTCATGCTATCGAAGAACAAGGGAAGGCGGCTTCCGCTTCCGTTTGGTGCATGCGCGTTCCACAGATATATATATATATATATATATATATATATATATATATATATATATATATATATATATATATATATATATATATGCCTGTGTTACTCCAAGCAATGACAGCATACGCCTGCCTGCCCCTTTGAAGAAATCCTTACTTAAAGTTCTTTAAAAATGATACCCTTTTACTGGGGTAATGGGAACTTGTTCTCAGGGGTGATGTTACAGCTTTAAAAGATAGGGTCATGGCGTTGACCGTACAGCGATTGCCCGACGCTCGTCGCGTCGACAGACAGAAGCACCTCCACTCCCCTGTTCTCTTAGAAGTCTGAAACGACGACGCAGTGTTGCTCATCGCCAATTGCTTAATTTTCGCCACGCAACATAGCTTGGAAACCTGGTGTATGAAAAATCAATCTCGTGATAAACGCACTGCAGTACTGCTCGCGTCAACTTGGGCATGTTGTGTAACATAGGCCGATGGCGCTCCCTGTCAGCTGGACGTTCAGAAACGTCGACTTGACTTATTCAATCAAGATCGGTCACGGGTGCTATGCATACAATGGGACAATTCCTTCCGTGAAACAAAAGCAGGAAATTCACAAGAAGTGCAGTCAATTTGCTTCAATCAGCTTCAGTCTTGTAATTTAAATATTCAGCACAGAGAGCCTAAATCAGTCTGTGAATTAGACTGTGGACTTGCTTCACCAGTTCAATGCGGTTTTTTTGTTTTTTTGTTCTTTGCAAGATCGTCAAATACATTTAGGCTCCTCATCGAACAGAACAATTGTGACTAATCTATGAACAATGCAACAAATTTACAGTCGAAAACAATCTGGCTCTCCCGCGTGTATTTTTAAAGAGATTGTCCTAATACGCGTGGCTGTTGTAAATTCGATATATTTCTTGGCATACCGTTAGCACTGTGTAATAACACAGAAGATTTCTTGTTTAGTTTTCCTGATGCAAAAAAAAATTTGCCCGTATCCTCTAAAACATTATCATGAAAACCCATTGTTTAATCTTGTTTGTTCTGACTTGTACAATCGAACGGGGAAATTGATCGGTTGGCTTACTTTCACTGCATCGGGCAGCCCAAAGAACAAACTTAAAGCGTTCCACGTTTGGACTGAATGCCCTTTTCTTCTTTAGTGCTGTTCGTAACAATGAATTTTTTGACAGCAGATAAAAAAACCACGACACAATTTGGCAAACATGTCCCAATGGTGACAGTCTATAAAAACTAGGCATATGCAACTTCGAAACATTATGCTATAGAGCACTGCAACTCAGCTGAGCGTATACCAAAACATGTCTTTGAAGATCAGTACATTTAGCCTTTTCGCTCTCACACTCGTGTTCATCTGTGGGTAAGCAGTAACAGAAAATTCTTCCATGCAGTTGCACACTAACCTATGGCTGATTTTTTGGTGAAAACCGGTAAAATAGGTACAAACTTATTTCGGCCTGGTGCCCGGCAGAACAAAATACATAGTGCAACCACACTGTGGCCAATTGATGGCGTGGGACCGCCAGACTAAACATAAGGTCATTGTTATTTAGGATGTTGCCTGCAAAATATTAGTTTCACTCATGAATGGATGTCGTCCTTTTGAGACTACAGTACACTTTACATGATATGTACGATGTGTTTACCATGCACGATGTGTTTACTATGTACGATGTGTTTACCAATCACTGCCTACCAGGAATGTTCTTATTTGTGTTTGTGACGTAAGTGCGAAAGACTGGACCTTCTGATTCACTGCATTACCATGTTAGTGAATCTGAGCTTGAGTTCACTTGGGTTTTTTTATTGATTGATATGTGGGGTTTAACGTCCCAAAATCACCATTTGATTATGAGAGACGCCGTAGTGGAGGGCTCCGGAAATTTCGACCACCTGGGGTTCTTTAACGTTCACCCGAATCTGAGCACATGAGCCTACTTTTTTTTAAGGGCACTGTAATTTTGTGGAGCAACCGGAGTACTCAAATTCATTCATGTTTCAACTAAGCTTGCACTGCTTATACCAGAAATACACGACGGCAACGTTCGTAGCACCAAGTGTGTACTGGATCTGATACAAGTCTGCCATTTCTTTTGTGTTTGTAGTAACTGCTTTTGACTCCTGTAAAAACTCCTATGTAAATCATTATTGTTTAGCGCGTAGCACATACACCTCGAATTGGATGTAACGAAAGTTATCTATATAATAAAACATTCACGACAATTGTGGCCACAGAATGGTATCTTTGATGAACCCAGACCAATAAAATTATTTTGGACAAAAAAGCATGCCTATAAAAGTTTTCCAGAAAAAAAAGTAATCTATGACTGATTTCTTTGCCATGTTTGAGTGAGACGGGTTTTTCTTCGAGCGTGCATTCTGACGCACTTACTTTATCTTGGCACTTGAATCACGACCGCAGATTCATTCTGACAAAGCTAGATTACAGTGTACACACTAACTAGATGCCGTGTCTAAAACGTCAAAGATAGTGCACCCACAGGAGCCACGTCGTAAGTCCCACCACCTTTTTGAGGTGGTCGGCATAAACACACGAGAGGTAGGAAGGCACATTCAAGGCGCTTCTATGCTATGAGATCTTTGTACACCCACTGGTGGCGGAGCACACATAAGTGAAGTTCACGGGTTAATCTTTCATTTTTATGCAAAATCAATTCATAATTTTATCCAAAAAACCGATGGTTGTTTGTTTTTTGTGGTTTTTTCTCTCTCAGCCTTACGCACAAGCAGTGCGAGCCATCTTCGTAGTCTCTTCCCACTTGCAGGTGTCGGTTGACTGTGCATATAATTTGCTTTTGAGTGTACCAATGCTACAATTTTATATCTCGAAGAAGTGCAATATTCTTGCCACGCCTTTACCAACTTCCCGATTAGGGAAATTGATTTCAACGCTGCCATCACTACATACAATAAAGTTTCAACTGTATGCGTCATTTAGGAGCATTGCCATGGCCATATATAAACAAAATAAAACCGCTTCGTTCTAGTGGTGCGAAGCTTGAAGGATGGAGCTAAGTGACCCTTTTTGTTTTTGTTCTTTTTTCTTCTCCTTTAATTTTTTTGTTCTTTTTTCTTCTCCTTTAATTTTTTTGTTCTCTTGCCATATATAAACAAAATAAAACCGCTTCGTTCTAGTGGTGTGAAGCTTGAAATATGGAGCTAAGTGACCCTTTTTGTTTTTGTTCTTTTTTCTTCTCCTTTAATTTTTTTTGTTCTCTTTTCCAGTTTTTGTTTTCTTTTTCTTTATATTTATAGTTATTTCTATATATCTCTCTAATTTTTTTCTTTTCTTTCGCTTATTTCACGCGTGCTTCCTTTTTCAAATTCTTACACGTGGTTTTTGTCACCGTATTTTCCTAGGCGGAGTAGATGTGTCCGCACTTGACATAATCATTAGGATGCTCGAAGAACAAGAGAAATAATCCTCTGTGGTGCTAGCGCATGCTCAGTGTGCTCTGGCTGGCTATGCTCTATGTGGTTCTGACTGCGTTAATATCATCATCAAGATGCTCGAAGAGCAAAATGAAGTGTTTATACCACCATCAAGGGGCTTTGAGAAGTAGGGGAAGAAGACTTCTCATTGGCGTGTGGTTGTGCTATAAATGGCTATATGCTATACGTGGTGTTCCCTGCGTTACGCCAGGCGACAATGGCAGCATACGATCACCGCATACGGCAGCATACTGCACCCCGGAACCCCAAGGTGACCCGCATATAGAAGTTATGTTGGCTTTGCACTAGCGGTGCCAAGCCTCAAGCAAAAGTGTAACTGGGAGGTCTTCTTTGCGTTACGCCAGGCGACAATGGCAGCATACGATCACCGCATACGGCAGCATACTGCACCCCGGAACCCCAAGGTGACCCGCATATAGAAGTTATGTTGGCTTTGCACTAGCGGTGCCAAGCCTCAAGCAAAAGTGTAACTGGGAGGTCTTCCTTCTGTCTCTCTCTGCTTCATTTCCCCCCCTTTCTTTGCTTCTCCTTATATCGACATCTCTCTCTATATTTATCCCTCTCTCTTTCTTTCTGCTCTTCTATTTAAATTTTTGTGTCTGTTCTTTTTTTCTCTCTCTCCCTATGTATTTCAATCAAAATCTCTGCTTCTTTAAACTGCTCTGTTTGTTTTCTCTTTTTTCTCTTTTGTTCTTCCCAGTAGGCTCTCCAACGCTCTTCTTTGTTAGTTAGTATGTCGTTTTCTCTCAACATCTTTCAGTCGAATCCTGTCTCTCTTTCTCTGCTTTTTGCTATCATTTTATTTGTTTCTCTCTTTTTTCCTCTTTCTGATTTTCTCGGTTTTGTTTTGTTTTTCCTTCAGTTTTCTTGTTTGTTTCATTCAATGCCATTTCTTCTATGTATATGTCTGTGTTGCTCTGTTTGTAGTTTTATGTCTTTTTACCCCCTAATCATCTGTATTTGTCGCGTTCTCCTTAGTTTCATCGCTACCATTTTGTCACTCTCTTTCCTTTTTTATTTCATTTTCTCTTTTTCTCTTAATTTTGCGCTTTCATTTACCAAGCACAGCTTTAGTTTAACGCTCCTGCCTGCCGTACTTGTAATCGGGGTTTGTTCAATTTTTTTTTGGCGTTTACCCACAAACAGACTTTCTTGCAAGACCCCGAAAACTACGACAGCATACCATAGCGCTTCACTGTTAAAATACTCATCTGCAATTGACCTTGTGTTAGGAAGGCCAATCACAGCCTAAATGCAAAATAAGATTTGCAGGAAGAGGCCATGCACGTCATACGTAAAGCCGTGTTCAGACTACGTGAATACGTATGAATTCTCGATAAAGTTTTCAAGTGTGAACCAAAACAACATAATGAGCTAGTTCAGTCGTTGTATTATTTAGTTTACGTTTGCGTATTAGTTAGTTTACGTATTTTATTTACGTTTAAGACTTGAATGGAGGGGGGGGGGGGGTCCTGGGCCTTTTACGACAATTATTGATGCAACCGTTACGTACAACCATTTGACAAAGCAGTTGCGGTTTTCACTTTCCGTTCGCGGGGCCTCCGGTCTTCACAGATTCTGAGTCTTCATGAGCGTCTTGAAATCCATGCATTAGCGTATCAGTGCAGTTAGTTTGCCGAGCTACAGGGCAGATGGGATGTGCGTCCTTGAGAGCGCACGGCAGGTCTCCCCTTTCGCCCAACCAGCCCAGCCATGACCAAGAACGCGGACCTCTCTAGATTACAACAATCCTAGTGAGGACACAACGCACATTCGGAGTGGTGATTGGTGTGTCGTAAGAAAGCGTATCCCACCAAAAATATCAATGCGAATATATGTGGTCGCTAGCTACACAAAATCCAAGTCTTCATGCGCGTCTTGAAATCCATGCAGTAGTGTATCAGTGCAATTTGTTTGCCGAGCTACAGGGCAGACGTGATGTGCGTCCTTGAGAGAGCACGGCATGCAGGTCTCCCTTTTCGCCCAACAAGCCCAGTCGTGGCCAATAACACGGAGCTTGCTAGACTACAACAATCCTAGCGATGACGCAACGCGGATTCGGAATTGTGATTGGTGCATCGTAAGAAAGCATATCTCACCGAAAATATCAATGTGAATATATGCGGTCGCTAGCCACTCAAACGGGAGATACAGCTGTTGCGCCATTTGACCCTATGAGTGATGAGACTGCAGTCTGAACACAGCCTAACTCAGATTTTGATCCCATCGAAACGCGCTCACCGAAAACATCTTGGCAGGCTTTGCAGCTAATACAGTTTTGCCATCTCAAATACCATCCAATAACTTGTAAAATTTGTGACACACCATTATCACACTTCACGATCACTTATTTACTGACACTAAAACAAAAGGAAAATCAAAAGCACCTAGCTCACTTCATTACACATTTTTCTCGTTGTAACCAAACTACTTTGCAGTAATGAAACATATCCAAAACTTCGTGATCTGATTAACATGATTGATTCATACGTGCCCCGCCGCGGTGGTCTAGTGGCTAAAGTACTCGGTTGCTGACCCGCAGGTCGCGGGTTCAAATCCCGGCTACGGCGGCTGCATTTCCGATAGAGGCGGAAATGTTGCAGGCCCATGTGCTCATATTTAGGTGCACGTTAAAGAACCCCAGGTGGTCGAAATTTCCGGAGCCCTCCACTACGGCGTCTCTCATAATTATATGGTGGTTTTGGGACGTTAAACCCCACATATCAATCAATCAATCAATTGATTCATACTCAGGGTTTAACAGCCCAAAACCACCACATGGTTATGAGAGACGCCATAGTGGAGGGCTCTGGAAATTTCGATAACCTGGGGTTCTTTAACGTGCACCCAAATCAAGGTGCACGGGCCTACCAAATTTTCGCCTCCATCGACAATTGAGATCTGATAAACAGGAAGAGAGTACAACAAATTTTCATTTATGCAGCCTACCGACTAGCAAGGTATTCAACCCCAACCATATCTGGCGCCTAGAAGCCCTTTCACTACAGCCGGCATTTTCACCCACCGGACGTCGAAAAGTAGGTCTTCGAGAACTAAGCCGAGCAGGGTTGCCCACCGCTTTACATTTAGTGATTTTCGGTCCCATCAGACCTCCTACGGAGGAGCAGAAATAATGTCATGCAGATCAAACTCTTTTGGACAACATATTTGTTTGGCCGAATATTGTTCTGAATTATAGTGAGTGTAGGTCGTGCAATTTGAGTACGTATTGGTTAGAACGAGGCGCCATGACACCACCTTCTGCGTCTCTTCACGGACCTGCTCTCATAACTTTGTAATGGCTACTGCTCTTCCTTCACTTAAACATTTGTTATACTCTCAGCCGCAAACACGTCGCCCATGTGGATCTGCTTGTCACTCCTTGAATCACTCTGCTGGACACCTAGTTGCCGGTAAGGAGGGGTAATTCCTACGAAGCAGAGATTATTTCGACAACCCGCTGACTGAAATTGTGTATAATTTGTTGTACCTTCTGCTAAACACACTCCTTGCGTAATATAAACAAGTGGTTTTATAATCGTAGGAAAATTAGTGCAGCCAAAGTGGAAGCCATTTAAAAAAAATTGCCTACTGCTCAATTATGAGCTTTATTTATTTTAAATAAAACTTTATTATTTCGGTTTCATAATAGAATAGATATTATAATAAATTCTTCAATATGCACCCTGCATAATTGTTTCGGCAGACGCTGCTAATGAAAGTAAAATGGTTCTTCGTGTCTCTATTTCGAAAATTCAATTTCGGCAATTATGCTTATCAATTTCTTCGTTGTCATTGTTAATCTGGATGAACAGATGTGCGGTAAATTTTATTTCTGCAAAGAATGGATAGGGATCTCATTTGAGAATCACTTGTGAAACATTTTCCATTTGTTTCAGATATCACGTCACCACTGCCTTTCCTCATAAATGGAGCAGCCAGGTTGTCTGCTACAGAAATGTAAGACATAACTCAGCAGCTTAGTTACACTGAATCGCCATGTTTCTTGGCACTTTTAAGACATGGCGTGTCTCAATTTCAGCGCTTTAGGCTTATATATATGGCTGCATTCATGTTGAAATTTTGTGGGACGATGCGGGTGTGTGCCTGATGAAGAGGACGAAGAGTGGGATCACTCGTTCATTTCATTAGTTTAAAACTTACGTTTTCAAAATTACTCTCGGCAAGTTTGCTACGTCATACTCGCTGGGCGTAACCTGCTTGGTTTTCGAAAGGTTTAGCGAGCGTTCGGCCGCAGTGCCATGAATACAGTGAACTAGTATATACCATGAACTCGAGGTGGTTAAAGGTGGGAAGTGGACCCAAAGCGCAGGCCGTAAGAAAGTGTGCGTGTGCCACCTCTCGTTTAGTCCTTGGAATGTCCGCTGGATGGCGGTGCTTCTATATGGGGAATATATGATAAAAAGATGCGAGATGGTGGGACTTGGAGTGTTGAATAGATGAACGAACGGACACACAAACAGATGCATGGATGGACGCATGAACGGACGCAGGGGCGGATGCACGAAAGAACGCAGGGACGGGCGCACAAACAGACGCATGGACGGTCACACGGACGGACGCATGGACGGACGAATGCTTCGCCCCACTCTCCATCATTCACTCCGTGGATATGCTGCCATTTTTTTCGTATTATTGCTACTTCATTTCTTCATTTTTGGTTTTAAATTTTATAGCCTACGTATAATAACATTCAGCAGTTGCTACGTTGCATTCTTGGCCGATCCCCCTGATTGCGTACGTGCCATGTATCTAGGGAAGCCAAGCAAAGCAATGCTCGGTGTCTAGTCAATCGGTCACGCTGCTGCTGCTGCTGGTTTGAAATATATTTCATCCACAGCCTCGTCGATACGGCGTCTTTTCTCTTCCGTAACAGTATCGTAGCTATTCCTTTTGCTTTCTTGAAAATATGAAATTGACACTCTCTCGACAAGTAGTTGCCCAATGCCTCATTCACTATCCGTGCAGAAGGAAGCCATTACACCATCATGTTTTATAAAACGATGCCCTGACTGCTTTGGTCATCTAGCCTTTAGCTTACAGGCAATGTGTGAGAACAAAAAAAAATGTGACAAAAAGGATGGATGTCCAGGTTTTTTTTCCTTCCCTGTAGTTTTGCGCGGTAACTTAAAAAATACTTTTCCCAACGTGCATTGTCTTTTTTTCCACAATGCAGAAAATCTGAAAGCTTTGCTGGAAACGTCCCCACTAATCTTATACGTGTTCAAAAGAACTTTTTAGTGCAAGAGCAGCATTAACAAGACGAGAGGACAGGATGGCCGCTATATACTTTCATCTGTCCTCTCATCAGTCGTGTACGTACTTTACTGATCAAGGCATGCGCGCGCCTTGCGCACTGCTTATCATGAATTAGCGAAACCTGTTGTCACTGTTTTGTGAGCGTTCTCCAAAGTTTGTAGCCTAAGGCAGAGCAGACACTTTAAAGAAAGCTTCTTAACCTTTTTCGTTTTGCCCCGTGCACGAACAGGAACTCTACCCAGCTTGCCTTGACCACGTTAATTCGTGTGGCCCTGTGCGTAGCGTATATAATCGGCGATAACTATGCGTAATGTTCTGATACCTAAGCAACGGCTATGTGCGGTAATAATATGACCCACTTCGTTATACCACTGTCACTGAACCAACACTACTGGGGCAAACTGCAGTCGTTTGCATCGGTCAGGCAGCACTTGCCCTCTCCCCCGGTCACACCAGCAAATGCCCCTCAAATGCCCCGCCTTATCGCAATAGAACACGAACTTCCGATCTCAATACGAAATCCTGCCGATGCCCGTGACTACGATCCGAGCATGATTATCTCAAATTTCGTAATTTGATGCTACTTTGCATTTCAAGTAGATGCCACGAAACGTCGATTGACTGCCGAAGCAGCAGTTCAAACAGCTTGCCCGTAGTAATTATTTCATGAGTTAACTGTGAATGCAACAGTGGCAGAAATCAGTGATCATTACACACTTCCTCAAGTTCACTGTCACAAGCGTTGTCCTCGAGAAAAAAATATCCTAAGCCTAAGGGCAGGTGCACATGTGCCCTTCTCTTTAGCATAGTTGTGAAAGCTACCATTTTTCCGCGGGTGGACAAAGCAGACTGAGGCCGAGAGCAGTACTTCACCATTGCGTAACACTCGATTGCTGCAGAGAAGTAGATTACTTTGTAGCACACAGCCTAAAAAAGCTGAATGAGAATTATTCTTCACTAACTAGACGCCACGGAGACGATGTGTGGCGGCTTCGCAAGTCCACTAGTTTCCAAAACCACAGCCGCGATGGTGATGCGATTTGCGTTGGCTGCCTTGGCTGCGCATTCGACAACGTGCATTGGTACACCACCGCGCCATCGATGAGACACGCGACGTTTCGCTTGATGTGTCTACAAGCTTGTAGATGCTGGAGAAATGTAGGTTCATTCAAATCTAGAAACACGCTAACTAATTAGTATCGCACGGCGGAAACTGCAGATGGCGGGCAAGAAGACTCACAAATATGAAATCTCACTTTCTTACCCGCAATGCGGCTGGTGGCAACGTCGAGTTCGTCAGCCATTCGGGAGATCTTATGACCATGTCGACTGGGCCGCGACTAAAACAAGTTCATAATTGCGCTCAAAAACATTTGTTACAGATGTTGTTGACTCCCGCGAAACTGTTCCTTTGACTAAGTTCCCGCGCAGAAGCAGGCAATTCGCATTCGCATACAGGAGCAGCGGATGCTGCAGCGTGGCTGAGAGTGGAGTTGCCGCTCTGGGTCACACGTAGGAGAGCGCCACTCCAAGATGATCTCGAGGCCAATCATCCTTGACCCCCTTCACTTAAGTACATTTGCCAGAACTACACACGACTACAAAAGTATGCTTGTATACAGAGGAAGATGACCATGTGCGACAGTAGGTGACAGCCTTAGTGGGAAGAGCGGAGCGTGAGCTGTTGGTGCTGCGACCCTGAATATAGTAGAGTGGTAGAGTTGCGGGGTTTATCAAACAAGAATCGAACATGAACATAGAAAAAGTTCTTAACCCACTGTTGGAGTTGTGATTTACACTTCGACGAACAGCACTACTGTCCCAAAGCTGTCTTTCAGCTCTGTGCGGTTAGTTAGGGGTGCGTGCAACGTAGTGATTCGAACAGCATTACATGGATGGCTCAGATATTGCATGTTAAATACCCCGGTGAAAGCGAAGTTCTCCATACGCTTGGCCGTGCTTCAATGCCCGCATTTGCGCACAGAAAGGGTCTTTTTGCGCTTCTCTTCAAGTGATGTACGGTTACTGAGAACGCTGTCTGGATAGGATCACCAGTGAAGCTGCAGCTTATTCTTATTCCTTTCTTAGTGTCAGCACAGGGATGATTGCTGCTTACTATTAGGTCTAAGATGCAGAAAAGTATTCCGCGTTTCAGCATCCCAGAAACGCTAAACAACCATAGCCAATCTTCACAACATAAAATCGCCTTCGAAATACGCCATGACAAAGATGGTGGATGGAGATAAAGTTTGCTCAGGAGGGATGTTTGATCACAACAACATGTCGCCTACGTTAGCATTTCATAGCACCTTGTTGTTTTACTTTTCTTAATTTGCTCTCAGAATTGAAAAATAATGACAGTGGTATTTCTTTTGGCTGATATGATTTCCATTTTTTTAGCCATGCAGTACTTCGGATGACTGTCCACGAGGCTGCAGATGTATATATCACAGAGGTCCTGGGCCAGAGGCTCAGAAAGGGCCCGCACAATCGGTGTGCTCAGCATGAAAGAAATATAAAAACCTATAATTTTCTGCAATATCAAAATAAAGCAAGCCATTTTTGTGCATATAAGAAAACTCAAGTGTTATTTTTTCTACGCATTCATTGCCATGAATGTGTATCTGCGTATCCTAGGGCGCAATGGCTTTGTTGGGCAGCACAGCGAAGGCTACGAAGCCCAAACACGCCCCTTTTTAGAGCGCAACCTGTCAAGAGATGAAAACTCCGGTCCCGCGCAGTTTTCCGCTGCGGCAGTGTCCATAACCACATCGCGTGAAATTACAAAAAAAAACCTAGCACCTAGATTGGGGAACCGATCACACAGCGGGGCTTGAACCTGAGTCCGCTGGGTGCCAGCCCAGTATTCTGCTACTGAGCTACGCCATTCTTTTTTCTTTATTACTTACTTCTCTACATTATACAATAATATTGCAGTGCATAAACAGTACATACAGGGGTAACAAACGGAATAGTTACATAGTGACTAGAATTCCATTCATGATGAAACAAGCGCTAAAGATACACACACTCAGAGAGGACACATACAAGCGCTTACTAGCAACTGAAAATTTTATTTTGAAGCGAACAGTAATAAATACGTTACACGCATGTACGTCATTTCCGACTTCCCCTGTAGTGATTAACAACGTGATATAACAAAATATGTACGAGCCCAGAACCGGAAACAAACACGTGTCAAGAACTAAGAAAAGAAAATTTAAAAAAACAAAAAAACAAGCAAAACAGAAAAAACAACCAAAGAAACAAAAAACAAAAAACGTAACACAGAGAAAAACGCTGGCTTATGGGACGTCCAAGAAAGCAAATTCCGCATCTGTTAGTAGAACTGACGCTTGGCTGACGCAACTGTCCCCTCCTTTCCTTATTCTATACGCTTCCATCATTTCTCTCGTCGTCCGCTTGTTGTGCCTGTCAATTATTCGTGTGTCGGAAAATTTCGGTTGGGAGGTGCACTCCTTGCAGTGCATCGCTAAGTGTGAGTAAGGGGTGCCCTTTAGTGAACTCTCATGTTCACGAAGGCGCACATTTTTGCACCGACCCGTCTGACCAACGTATTCCTTTCCACATGTGAAAGGAGTTCCGTATACAACATCTTTTTTGCACTCAACGTACCTCCTGCCATGCTTTATGCTACATCTGTTCGATTCTCCAGTTCCTTTCTTGTTGACTAGTCTTTCTGCTCCTGGACAAATCTTTGATAATTTGTTTTCAGCTGAAAAAACAACCCGCACGCAATACCTTAATGCAACTTTTTTCAACCTATGTGAAATATTGTGCAGATACGGGATGACCACTGTCCGCTTTCTTTCACCCTCAACTTGTCTCCTCTCATCGCTTGTGCCAATGACTGAATTTTTTACTTCCCGACGATTCTTCTCACATGCCAAAAGGATACATTCATCCTGGTAACCAGCTCCCCTCAAGCGCTTGATCTGCGCGGAAACACTCTCATTGATTGAGTGTACACACGATTTCATGAGGGCAGCTTTAATGCAAGAAGTTGCAATCCCATTCTTTACTATCTTTGAATGTGCCGAATGATAGCTCAGCAATGGTTTTTCCGATCTAAGGTGATACATTCAACACGTGTGAAAAGGAGACAAATTAACTTTTAGGTCCAGAAACTGAATGTGTTGTTCCTTTGGCACCTTAAAGGTAAACTGTAAACCACACCCGTTTTTCCTAAAAGCTTTGAAAACAGTCACTAAAGTGCTCATACCTGGATTGCTTTTTACCAAAACAAGGTAGTCATCTACAAATCTGAACAGCTTCAAATCCAAACCATCTAGCTCCTTAACTACTGCTGTGTCAAGTTTGGTCAAAAAAAAATATTGCATGAGATCGGGGCAACACTAGACCCAATGCAAATCCCATCCTTCTGGACGTACAATTCTTCATTCCACCCCACTAGCGTGGAACTCAGATACATGGCCAAAATCTCCATAAAACCTTCTACAAACACACCACAGCCGTTACAAAAAGCCAATTCATTATTTTTTTCCGTGATGCACTCTTGTAGGCTTTGTAGTAATGGACCATGCGGAACGGAATAATAAAGATCGACGACATCAATACTGAACGCATCAGAGACCCTTACATCATCTCCTTTTAAGTAGTTCACTACTTCCATAAAGTTCGAAACCAAAAACGGGTCACAAAACCGGAGCGTTTTCAAATGTTTTTTTTTTCAAAAATTCGGACACGAGACGTAGCCAGGTACCCCCTTTCTGAGACAATGGTTCGGAACGGAAGGTTTTTCTTTTGTGTTTTTACCGTAAAGAACGCTTCCAGCAAGAAGCCTTTCAAATAATGGAAGCGTATAGAATTAGGAAAAGAGGGGAAAGTTGCGTCAGCCAAGCGTCAGTTTTACTAACAGATGCGGAATTTCCTTTTTTGGACGACCCATAACCCAGTGTTTTTCTCTGTGTTACGTTTTTTGTTTTTTGTTTTTTTCTTTTTCTTTGGTTGTTTTTCTGTTTTTGTTTTTTTCTTACATTTTCTTTTCTTAGTTCTTGACACGTATTTGTTTCTGGTTGTGGGCGCGTGCATATTTTGTTATATCACGTTGTTGATGATGACAGGTGAAGTCGGGAATGATAGATAGATAGATATGTGGTGTTTAACGTCCCAAAACCACTCTATGATTATGAGAGACGCCGTAGTGGAGGGCTCCGGAAATTTAGACCACCTGGGGTTCTTTAACGTGCACTCAAATCTGAGCACACGGGCCTACAACATTTCCGCCTCCATCGGAAATGCAGCCGCCGCAGCCGGGATTCGAACCCGCGCCCTGCGGGTCAGCAGCCGAGTGCCTTAACCACTAGACCACCGCGGCGGGGCAAGTCGGGAATGAGGCACATGCGTGTGATGTATTTATTAGTGTTCGCTTCAAAATAAAATTTTCAGTTGCTAGTAAGCACTTGTCTGTGTCCTCTCTGAGTGTGTGTATTTTTTGCGCTTGTTTCATCATGAACCTTTACCAACACGCCCAACTGGCAGTCATCATAAGAATTCCTTCATACGTATAAATGGCTCAAGATGTTCGAACCAATCTGGAATTGGGTCGTTAGTTTTACGCTCTTCAATGAACTTCGTGATGTTTTATCGTAAATATTCACGAATGGGCCGTGTATTGATGTCTACCTGGCGTACAGCCATGTAATTTTTCCAAATACTGTGAAGGCCGAGCAAAATAACAGTATCATAAGGGGCTCCATCGTCTTCTTCATTGAGTGGTAAAAGCCTGATCCCGTAGGCATCAATCGGTAGGTCTTCTTTGCTAGCTCTCTGCAGAATGTCCCAGAAGAACACCCCTTCCCAACAATACTGAAAGACATATGTTCAATGGTTTCAGGTTTACGACAGAGAAAACGGTGCGTTCCCCATGGTACAAACAGTCCCCTTCCTTGCATCCACGTTTTGACTTCTAGAGTGCCTGTACGAAGCTTAAAGAAAAATGATTTTGAACTACATGAGACGGCCATTTTTTTTTTACTCTGACCAGTACATTTTGGCCACGTCCAGCAGGATACCAACTCCTGTGAAGTGGTACCAGTAAAACAATGTCGAGAAGGTCTCTATACAGCCTTTTTCGCTTTACTCCCGCTAGGTATTCGCTGCATGCGAAACCATGCAAATAAAAATTGCATGCACCCACTACTTCTTTTAGATAAATATAAAGCACCCTATTCACATAGTCCGTGGTGACAACGAGTGAAGGTACAACTCTTTCAAGCCTCAGCTGAACAACTGAGCGTAGAAACGGGTCTTTTGTGTCTCGCATAAACATAAAACGACTAACAATATGTCTTGAAAACAAATGTGACAAACTGAGATTACCGAACCGAACACGACGAGAAAGATTAGTGCGACTAGACCGTTCGCACACTAATCCCCATATAAATACTGCAAACACACGGTGCAGCTTCTGCACGTTTATACGGGAGCAATGTAAAACCCGTAATGTGTACCCAAGCTTTGATACGAAGAAAAGATTACATATGATGGCCCGCGTGAAAATCGAAAAGTCCCATCTTCTATCATCATCCACTTTTTCACGCATTTCAGTGGATTGCCGTCACCAGTATGGTTCCCTGTCACGATAAAATTCTAGTGGTACACCCGAATATTTTGCAGGCTGATTCACCCACGGCATGTTGCCAAAAACGTAGGGAATGGAAGGCCAATCCCCATGCCAATATCCCAAGCACTTTTTCCACTTTACCGAACTCCCGCTGGCCGTAGAAAACTATTTCACAATATAGACTACTTCGTTAACACTGTCGCGATCTTAACAGAAAACTGCCACATCATCAGCGTATGAAAGTAATCGCACTTCATTCTCAAGCAGTTTGAATACACGGATGGCACTGCTGTTCATTCCACTCCCACAAAAAGGCTCTAAAAACAAACTGAACAACAATGATGAAAGAGGGCAGCCTTGACGCACGGAGCGTTGCAAGTTAATGCGTGCCCCCACCAACCTATTATAATCAGTTGCGTTGTACAGCCCTCATATCCCATGGCCACTCCCTCTTAGATAATACAGCCCACGTTTAAAAAATCAAAGACACTCATCAGGACATCATGTGACACAAGATCAAAAGCTTTCTCTAAATCCAACTGAACCATTGCCACACATGTCTCAGCCGCATCGCAGCACTCCAGAACATCTCTGGCCTGCTGTATATTGGTCACAATTGTACGTACTTTGATTCCACATGTCTGGTGTGGACCTACTATTTCCTTTATTACACCCTGTAATCGCTTAGCTAATATTTTCATGAATATCTTGTAATCTACGTTTGTTAAGCTAATGGGGTGATACGATTTTATTAAGCAGAGTTTAGCTATACCTCAGTTTTGGGAATTACAACTCTAATCCCCAAAACTGAGCTACGCTGGTGCTTATGACTTGTTGGCAAACTTGCCTTAGGCAGGCTTGATGTCGGGAAAACGATCGCGTTAATACGACTTATAAATCCTTTTAATACACCAAAAAAACACCAGTCGTCTCACAATGCGAGTAGCGT